CCTCTTTTGTTGCCAGTTCAGGGAGTCCAGGTGGTTGAGTATCAGAGTGTTCCATCTCATTTCCCTTTGAGGTTGCTGTAGGTGATCTGGAAGTCTGGTATTGAGACTTATTTACGTGTCTTCTCATTTCAGGGAGGGGCTTGCTACTGGCGCCTGTGCAGCTCACCTCCTCTGTGCTAGGAGTGGTGGTAAGGCAGCTCAGAAACCTCCTCCTCTGCACTGGGAGTGGTGGTATGTTGGGTGGAAGCCTCCTCCTCAGGACTTAAATAGACACCATTCTTGTCAATTCTATCCTGATAAACCTTCAATAACAGACTCCTGGCTCTCCTCCGACCTGGTCTCTACTCCTGCGCTCTCACCATTGCTTTACGGTAACCCATTTATCTAGGAATTTTCTACTAATTTTATTAAAAAGAAATAAAGTTTTACCAAAATTTAATCTGTGGATCATCACTGGCTGCTCATGAAGTTCCATCTGTGGACAGTTCCAATGCCACACTACATTTTCATTCATGCGGAACTTGGCCCCCGAAGTGCATGCCCTATCAGGCAGCTTTACAGAGCCTGTTAGCAGCTTTCTCAAACCATTTCTCACAAAATGAATACATGGCTTGAAAAGAACATTCAGTAAAGAAACCTCAGACAGAGATTAATACTAACACAAGCTCAAGGGAATAAGAAAATGCAAGTGTGCTCTTTTGTACTTGTACAAGCACATTAGACAGCAAAAACAATAGTGATCTAATCAAGCTTAACTGTGGTATAAGCCAAAATTTCAAAATCATCAATAACACTATTAAAGATTTACATTTGCTGACTTGTTGCTTATTGCTGCTGCTTGTCTTCTTCTCTGCAATGTCCCTCTGCCATGCCCCCTGCCTTGGAGTCAACTATGAACTGAAACCTCTACAAATTTCTGAAGGTGATAAAGAACAATTAAAGAAACTTACTGAGTTAACAGAATATCTGAAATATACTTTGGATGAAGAAAAGAAGAAAAATGGTGAATTACAAAAAGAGCTAACTGGATTTAAGAAACTTTTAAAAATGACAAAAACAAAGTTAAATGAGCAGGAAAATGGAGACTTCCATTTTCATGGAGATTTAAAATCCAATGAATTGGATATTCCAAAAAACATGCTAATACACAAGGTTAATAATCTTTTAGCAAAACTGGAAACTGCATCGTCCAGATATCTACATCAGGTTAAAAATAATGATTTTCTCCAGCAGGAGTTATTATCTATGAAAAATATACAAAAGAAATGTGAAACACTAGAGAAGAATGAAAAGAATTTGGAAAAAGTAGTAGTTAACCTGAGAAGTAACATAGAGAAGAATGTGGTAGAACATGGCCAAGTAGAACAGTATAAGCAGGAGACTGAAGAAAGACTCAGGCAGGATTTACTACAAAAATTAAAAGTCAATCTATTTTTACAGACACAAGCAGCATCTTAAGAAAATTTACAGCAATTAAGAGAGGCTAATAATACTTCCATGAGAAGTCAGATGGAACTCCGAATTACAGACCTGGAATCAGAGGTCTCTAAAATGGAAGCTCAAGAAGAGTGCAATAAAATATTGTAGGAAAACTATAAGCAATAGGCAATGCTATCTAGAAGAATTCAATAGAAGAAAGACATTGTCCAGTGTACTAAACAATCTTTACAGGGTTAATGGGAGGCTACAAGAGGCCAATACCAAACTTCTGATGGAGCAGCAACAAAACAGATCTTTACTGAGCACTGTTAGTACAAGACCTGTCCTAGAATGTCTTTGTGTTGGAAATCTTAATCATAGTTTGGGGTTCCAGAGAAGTTTTCTTCTCAGAGAAGAAACTTTCTGGTTCCTCCATTAAACCCACAGCCTTCAAACAACAGTTTGGAGAGCTACCTGATCAAGATGTAGCAAGACTTGGAAAAAAGTATAACTAGAGAAGAGAAGCTACTGCTGAACTTGAATCTGGATCCTTTAAAGTTTCTCCCACAAGGTCTGCCCATAAATCGAGCCAAGATCTAACTTTAGAAACATCACAAGAATATCTGGAGATTTTAAGGAGAAGATATAAGATCTGAAAAGATAATTTTGTTTATTGGACTTTATATATATATAACATT